CCCAGACTTAATTATTAACATCCTAGTCACATATCCAAGTTAAGAAAAAAAATTCATTTTTCTACTAGAATCACACAGGTTCAACATCCAATGAATCTAAGGAAGTTCTTGAGATGTTAAGCAAGGTAGAGATCAGTTCTTCCTGAGCCTTACATTAAATTGTGGTCAGTCTTCTCTCTTCCAGAATTTTTTATTTTGACCCTTTGTTCATCTTGAAGGATCTTCTCTGAACACCAAGTTGTCTGTGGTGCCTGGCACTGGATCAGACCATTGCTGACAATAGGAGGATTACTTCATTATTCCTCTAGGCAGCCTTGATTGTGGTCAGTTACCAGAAGAGGAGACAGGAGAAGGAAAAGAGAGACAATGATTGCAGTTCATCTGCTGATTGGCTTCTTCCCCACTAAGGACTTTACCTGTCCCTTGAACTTACCTATTTAAACAATTTTAGTGTCTGCCTTTTCTCCCTAGGCTACTAACCCTGATACCCTGTAAGTGTTCCTATGGAGCTTCATTTCAATTGTTTCTGACCTCTTCTCATATTTGCCAACTAAATTATAATTTTTGCCTTCTAAGTTGCTGACTTTGGCTTTGAAGTCATACAGAAGCCAGTTTGAACCGAGAACACCATTTCTTACAAGTTATGCGAACTTGGGCAAGTTATTTAACGCAGTATGTGCTGCATTTCTTTATCTGCAAATGGGGGATGGTACACACACCTAGTGAAGTTGGTGTGAAGAGTAAAGGAGAAATCAGCATCATAGTTCTTAGTGCAGTTTCTGAAAAGTCTCAAGAAACACTGGACTCCGGTACAAACTTAATAAATCACATTCATTAGGTACCTTCAGATTATTTTAAATGACTTGTTAGCCTTAAGGTGATTCTCTTATTGTCAACCAGTTATACATCCACAAAATAAAGGAATATCCTAGGTTCTATTTCATAGTTCTGTTAGTGATATACATAAAAGGAAAGTACTCACATTTTAGCCTGGAATATAAGGCCCTTCACAGTTCCTCTTCTACCTTTTGTCCCACATCATCACTTTTTTTCCTGGAGACAGGGCCTTGCTCTGGCACCCAGGCTGGAGTGCAGTGGTATGATCACAACTCACTGCAGCCTTGAACTCCCAGGCTCAATCTTCCCACCTCAGCCTCCTGAGTATTTGAGACTATGAGCCTGCATAACCAGCCCAGCTAATTTTAAAATTTTTTGTAGAGATGAGGCCTTGCTATGTTGTCCAGACTGGTCTCGAATTCCTGGCCTCAAGTGATCCTCCTACCTCAACTCCAAAAGTGCTGGGATTACAGGCATGAGCTACCACACCCAGCTCACATCATCCCTTTTAAACACTGTAAACACATCTGCCAAATATCTTCATTCTCTGGACAAACATTCTCTAACCTTTATTTCATGTTGTTCCTTCATTCTGTAATGTTTTATTTCCCAGTCTCCACTCTTCTCTATCCTGCCACAATACATGTCCCCCCAGAGGCCTTGTGTTCTTACAGCCTGAAATGATCCCACTATCAGCTGACTTAGCATAATTTTAAAAAGTCATTTTCTCATGACTGATCACATTCTTCCATGTGTCATAGTGACTCCTGAGGGTAAGAAGTGTTTTAATACTTCTATCCCTCCCAACCTGTGCTTAAAATGGTGACTGGCAACTTGTAGGGTTCAGTGATGGAGTATTGAAGGAAGGACCATATCGTGGGGATCAGAAACAGATATCAATTATGCAGTCAAATATGTTCTCTCATCATTTCAAGCATTTATGTTCATATATTCCTACTCCACTAATAGAGGTCTTCCCTGAGCACTACACCTAATGAAGCCTTGTCATTCCTGAGCCATTTGCTTTTATTTTTGTATACAACACTATAACATTATAATAGATCCTCAGAGTTATTTGTTAATTTCTGTCTCCTGCTAGAATGTAGGCTTCATGAGCACGAGTTCACCTTTTTAATGACAGTAAGCCTTAGCAAGAACTCTAAGTATTTGTTGAGCAAATGAATGGATACATGAAATCATCACAGGATCTACTGCGTTAAAGTGTTATGGATATTATTATTCTACTTTTCTAAATGTATGTAAACAGACTTTCTAGTAATTTTCATTTTGGATGTTTAGATATTATATTTTTAGAGAAGCTTTAAGTAATAGACATTTAATCAGTACCTGCCTAAGAAACTATGAGGTGAGTTGTTTCTATAAATGGTAGTCAGATCACTCTAGTTTAATTTGGTGAATTTAACTTTTTCTTTCATATCTTAATTTTCTTCTTTGGACACACACACAGATTATATTGGTAAATAATGACTTTCCTTTAGCCTAGGATTTTGCTCTTCAAACAGATTTGGGACTTAAATGAAGGGTTAAGCAGGATGAGAAGGTCCATGCCTTTCCTTCCCTTCTTCCCTGTCCTCTCAGGCTCCCTTGACACCTGTGACACCCCTGCCCCCGGCAAGCCTCATCTTCCCAAAGCCTGTCACCTTACCTCTTCTCATTTGCCCAAGTGCAATGTCAGTGTTAAGTAAGCCATAGTTCACAGCTTTTATTAATACATAGTATAACATTTGTAAGGAAATGCAACAGGCTTTCGCTATGCTTTCACAATAGGATGAGGCTGTCCTTGAGGTTTGAGGTTTATTTGCCTAACACTTGGCATGCAGGAACTTCAATAAATATTTGTTGGAGAAATGAATGATCCATTCACAGACTCATTAGGCCCTGATTGTGTCTGTGGGTCACAACAGAACACTCTTCTTATCAGATCTTATCTGACTTGATTTGCTCTGTGACACTTAACTACCTCTCTTTTCTCTAACCCTGTCCCATAACACTCCTTAGTTTTCTTCTTTCCTCTTGACTGTGTCTTCTTAATCTTCTTTGCTTCTCTTCTACCTTCTCTGTAAGTGGTGATGCTCCCTGCCCTTCCCATTAGGTTCTGTATTGACCTTCAGATATTCCCCTTGGATGACCTCATTCATGTCCATGACTTCAACCACCACCACCCAGACATGGATGACTTCCAAATAGATATCCTTAGCCCTGATATTTCTATGTCCCACACCCTGTAGATTTCTTTCCATCTCTGGGAATAAGTCCTATATTGCTATTAACTATCTCTACTAGTAAACACTAAAATGCCATTTTTTTTTTTTAGACAGTCTTGCTCTACTGCCTAGGCTAGAGTGCAGTGATTTGATTCCGGCTCACTGCAACCTCCACATCCTGGGTTCAAGTGATCTTCCTGCCTCAGCCTCCCAAGTAGCTGGGATTACAGTCACACATAACCATGCTCGGCTAATTTTTTTGTATTTTTTGAATTTTTGTATTTTGGGGGATTTCACCACGTTGGCCAGACTGGTCTTGAACTCCTGACCTCAAGTGATCCATCTACCTCGGCCTCCCAAAGTGCTGGGTTTACAGGCATGAGTCAATGCACCTAGCCTCTAAAATGCCATTTCTGACTCCCCATCAAACTAACACTGACCACCCACAAATCATCCCTTACCCTCTCCTTTGCCTCTCTCCCCATATTAAATCAGCTGTCAAGACCTCTCTGTTCTCTCTCTTCTGTTGATTTCAATAAATATATGGAATAATTACTGTATGTTGGGTTACCATCTTTCAGAGTCATCCATCTCTCTGTCTCTTCTACCTTAAGCATCTTCTCTTGAGGAAAACTGCAGTTACCTGGCCTCTGTCTCTATCAGGTTACTCACACCCCTCCCATCTACCCTTCACATTGCCACTGCCAAGTGGGCTTTCTACAAATTTAATCGCAGCATGCTCCTCCTCCCTTACTTAAAACCCTTCATGGCTTCCTGTATTTTCAGGATGAAGTTCAAACTAGCCCCATTTGAGCATAAAAGTCATTTAAGATACAACCTTATCTTAATTCTCCACCCTCATTTCTGACTCCTATAGCCCAGGAGTCCAAGTCCTTCAAACTGTACCCCACCCCACTGAATGGTTGTGCCCAGCTTTCTCTTCACCCATTCTTCTCTGGCCATTCTGCCATGCCTTAAAAACTGGCCATTTCAGCAAGAGAATTTCTGTCCTTCTAATTTTTTCCCCTATCCTCTTCATACCACTCTGAATATTTAGAGTGCATAATAGATTTTTGTCTACTTGTCTATCTCACTAGACGATGCGCAATTTGAGGTTTGTGTCACCAGCATCTAGAAGTGTCTAGACCATTGTTTCTTAAAGTGGGGTCCCCAGGTCCTCCTGGTGATGACAGGATCATTTGGTTTTTGTTAATATTCGTACTTGGGCCCTCCTCACCCCTACAGGACCTACAGGATAGGAGTTTTTGTTTTTTTCTTTAGTTTTAAAATTTTTTTTTTTTTTTTTTTTAGTTTCTCCACTTTGCTAGAGAAATTTTTTTTTTAAACTAGGTGACATTTATGAATATTACAGATATTGAGTAAATGTTTTTGAATAAACAAGTAAACCAGCTAGAGCTCTCATTCATGTTTTTTTTTTTTAAGGAAAAATGGTTGTTTTATTTATTAGTACTTAAACCAGCCAAAGTAGTACTGATGTCATAATGCAGCAAACACAAGACCTCTTTCCACAAATATTAGCATAATCAACAAAATAGGGGCTATAGTAAAACAGAGCCAAAAAGGGCTGAGGAAATCAATGAAGTATGTTACAGCTTAACCCTTCACCCTTCTCGTCAATAGGGTTTTTATTTTATTTTATTTTGACATGAAGTCTGGCTCAGCCATCCAGGCTGAATTGCTGTGGCACCATCTGGGCTCAGCCTCCCGAGTAGCTGGGATTACAGGCGCCTGCCACCACGCCCGGCTAATGTTTGTATTTTAGTAGAGACAGGGTTTCACCATGTTGGCCAGACTGGTCTCGAACTCCTAACCTGAGGTGATCTGCCTCCCTTGGCCTCCCAAAGTGCTGGGATTACAGGCATGAACCACTGCGCCTGGCCTCAGTAGAGTTTTTTAAAAAATAAGCAAAGCCTCCCAATCCCAAACAATAGGAATGTATTTTCATCACACCAATTTGTACTTTTATTTCTTCTTATTTTTTTCTTATTCTTGAGGTTAGATTCTAAACCCTAAAGATACCCAAACTAGTATTAGATCTAGTTATCTATAGATAACTAGAGACAGCTAGTATCAAGTTGTCTTTAGCAGCCAAGGTGATTAAAATGCCTTTTCTCCAGGAAGACCCAATAGGAAAAAAAAAGAAAGAAAGAAAGAAAGAAACCTCTCTGGTTAGGCTCCAACCATACTCCACCCTCCATCAAATTGACTAGATAGGCATAATGGAAACCGGAACACGTGGTTTCCAAACAAGAAAAATCCTATCAGGGAGGGGAGGAAGGGAGAGGAAGGTTCAGCCAGTGCCCAGACTGAAATTGAGTAATTTCAATTTCACTCATCTTCACATATCTTCAGGTTGCATGTTCGTGGAGTAGTTTAGGAATAAATCCATGGTTTGTGGACTACTACAATACCTAGTCGTCTACTGTATTACATTAAGGCCTTCCCCAGCAGCTTCCAAGGCAGCCTCCAAGTCACTGGCAGGAGAATTTGGGTGGAACTGCAAGCAGGACTGCAGAGATTCCTCTCCACAGTTATAGAAGGGACTGTTCCAGGCCTGATTGTTCCAGGACTGGGTGCACCAGGTCTGAGCGTTCCAGAAGTGTTTGCTCCAGAACGGGATGTTCTGGGTCTGGTTGCTCCACATTGGAAGGTTCCCATTTGGGTTTACCAGGCATCCCTGGTGGCAGGAAGAGTAGAGGCTGGGGTAGGTAGGTACTGAGGCCTTCTGAGTCACACTGTTGCTATTCTTTGTCCAGTTGTTTTTCTGCCACGTCTTAGATTTCATTCTCTGGTTCTGGAAGCAGGTCTTCACCTGTTTGTAGCTAAGGTTCAGGATGTTGGAAAGTTCTTGCATCTGCTGGAGGCTGAGGTATTTCTGTCTCTGAAATCTATCATTGAGTACACACAGCTGGGCGGAAGAGAACACAGTTCTGGTCTTCTGTTTCTTGACCAAAACCTTGTCTTCCTTTTTTGTGGCACTATTCTCTGCAGAAGTGGATTGTTTGCCTTTGGGATTGGTGGAAGAATCAGGGCTGTCCTGAATAAGCAGATCCATGGAAGAAGGAAAAGGAGAGACAGTCTCTGTGTCAGGCATCTCAGCAGAAGACATTTGCAAGGATGGATGGTTTTCTTCAGACCCACAAACCACAGGTGTAGGTGACCAGTCTTTACAGTCGGATGCTTCGGAGCAAGGCAGGCTTTATGGACAAGCTGTACTCACACTCATGTCATTATTGGAGAAGAGTAGGAAAAATTTAAGAGGTGGACTGGAAAAAAGGCTAAGATGGCTTTAAGACTTTTTTCTGGAAGATCTGAGAGAAATATGACCTCCAGGAGCGAAAGTATCAAGAAGTTGGGATGAAGTGAGTCGCCTTCACAATAACAGGAGGCAGCCAGCTCAGTCCAGCAAAAATCCATTCATGTTTTTAAGTTCACATACACTGTATTGACTTGGATTTGTTACTGTTAATTCTAAAAATACTCCTGTTTATAAAAGAGGCTGTTTAGTTTTCTAGAGAAAAGTCTGCCTATTTGTCTTAATGTGAACTTGAGGATTTGGAGATTCTGTGGCCAATTTTGATCAATATAAACAGATAATTTGAATAGTTCAGATTAAAAAAATAATCCACACCACTCTGGATTTCAGCATCCCAAACTCTTCTAGCCCTTCTGGTGACTCCTGAAAGGTGTCCCACCTCTCTGTAACTCAGTTTCCCTCAGTGTAAATATCATACTGCGAAGCAACAGGGATTGGAACATCAATGCAACAGATATTTCCTAAGTACTTCATTATTTTCAGTTCAATGTCCAAGGTGCAGACCTTACATATAGTACAGTCATTTATAATTTAGGAGGCTTCCTTAACTATAAAAAATTCTCTTATATTCAAATAAACTAGTGCAGCCAGAGCTTTTATATAGGAGTGGGAGTTAGAGTGAATATCTAATGATCTTTAAATGTGTTAAACTTCCATAATGTTTCCTTGAAAAAAATGTGTACTTACCTATATTTATATGCATTTAAATGCCTAAATACAGACCCATGAACAGATATAAATTTGCTGTCTTTGATATCCTAAAATGACTGATGGTCATGTGCATAAAAGCTAGTCTGAGAACCCTGGAGCCTGCTAGACAGGTTGAGCTTCTGAGTAAGCACTGCGGCTATTGCAGTGCTCAGCCCACATGATATGTTTTGCTTAAAGGCAACTATCCAATACCCGGCCGGATGGATGATGGTGAACATTTTGGTTTAATACTGCTTATTACTATGTCACTTTAATCTGCCTAAAATTGTTCACAGAACATTGTCCTTATATTTTTCTGGGAAGTTACTTTTCCTTGGGCTACTGTTGGTTCTGCTTTAGCGTCCTTGGTTCAGTCATTTTTAATACTTGGTCATTCAAGCTTAATTAAATGAGAATAATTATGGCCAAAATGCCCAGGAAGTATCGGATGGCTTTTTGGTTTTGTTTCCCTGCTATCTTATGGTACTGATAGAGCTCCCACAGATCAGCAGCTCAATAGAGGAGGGAGGCTCTACAAATATCACTTTAAATATATTTACATTTTAGAGGAATTGGCTTGCTAGTTGTAGTCCATGTTCATAAATCACCACAGAATCCCACATACTGTTAGTAGCAACAGAACTTGGTGCCTTACATTCAGATAAGTTGTAATTGAAATTCAGGGTATTAAAATTGTGTTGGGTAGCCAGGTGCAGTGGCTTATGCCTGTAATCCCAGCACTTTGGGAGGCTGAGGTGGACAGATCACAAGGTCAAGAGATCGAGACCATCCTGGTCAACATGGTGAAACCCCATCTCTACTAAAAATACGAAAATTAGCTGGGCGTGGTGGCTTATGCCTGTAGACCCAGCTACTCAGGAGGCCGAGGCAGAATTGCTTGAACCCGGGAGGCAAAGGTTGCGGTGAGCTGAGATCCACCACTGCACTCCAGCCTGGTGACAGAGCAAAACTCCATCTCACAAAAAAAAAAAAAAAAAGATTGTGTTGGGCTGGAAATAATGAAAAAATCAACAAATAGAATCTTAATCATGTACAGGAATTGCCTTGTTTCACTCAACAGAAGTCTAGAGCACACAATCTAGAGTTGACAAGGCAGCTGGATGATGCTATCAGGAAACTAAGCTGATTTCATCTTTTACTTCCTTCTTTCTTTTTCATGCGTGCTGCCCCATGGCTATAAGATGGTTGCTGCCAGGCATCAGGTTTGTGACTGGGAAGAAAAGAGAAGAGCAAAGAAATAAAACTCCAAAGGGACATGCAGACAAGTCTACATGTTTTAAAAACCTTTCCCAGAAGCCCCACGTGGCCACTTCTATTTTCATAATCATTGCCATAGCTTCATCTCAGACTAATCTCTGAAAAGGAGCAAGGCAAATCAGTGTCATGGATAGGCATTCAGTCATATTGCCATACTTAGCCTCACAATTGACCCAGGGTTCCAATCAAAGAACATCTTGTGGGGTGTATCATTTAACTATAACATCTGTCCTGGTGTTAAGGCATCTCTTGAGAGACTCAAGGACTTTTTAGGAGGTGACAGATGACACTAGGGAACACACTGCTTCTCAGCTGGTAAGAAGAGAAAGCAATCCAGTATAGATGTGCATCCCTTGAGAAATATATAAAACAATAACAATTATTTGATTCTTAAAAATAATTATTAATTTTTCTTAAATAGGAAAGCTCCCCAAATGTTTTCAAAATACAATTTAGTTTTTTGAAAAAAAGATTTATACATAATTTTTCTGGACTAAATCTGCTACGTAAAGCAAGATAATCCTGTCCTTTTGAAAAGTTTATTTTGCTTTTGAGTACCGACTGTGTAGGTTGATGCAAAAGTAATGGCAAAACCACAACAACTTGTGCACCCACCTAAAATCTTAGTAGCTCAGTTACATACTTATCTATCCTCATCAGTCCAGCTTTTCTTGTATCTTCCAAAACATGTTCCAAGTGAGCTGAGAACTTTCCTTTACAAGTTCTGTCTTGTTGGTTGGAAACATGGATGGCTGTTTTCTCAGTCTTGAAACTGACATTGTTGCATGTTGGTAGTTGACACATGGTGGGAGGAGCATAATTTTATATCTAAGAACACGATAAGCACCAAAACAAATGAGGAAATATTAGACCTTGCTGTCACCCCTATGCTCACAGATAAGTGTCTGAGTGAAATTGTTTGCAGAAGGCACCCAATGAACTTCATACACCCATATGTGCAAAACATTTAACCAGTTGCTCTGAAATGACGCTCCAGTTCGGAGGGTACAGATGCAGGAACTTCCTGTAACCACACTGCCCATGACGCCTGCCTTATCCTCACCTCCAAGCCCTGCTGTTGTCTAAAACCTGTGCTATTCCCACCAGACTTACTCAAGTTCCAGCTTTCATTTCATCAGTGAGTGATCTTTATATATCACAAATCCAAGCACGTGACTTCATTCATTTAAAACCTTCAATGGCTACCCATTACTCTTAAGATGAAAAAGAAACGTCTTAACATAGCTTATAAGAGTCCTCATGATCTTGCTTCCACTTAACTTCTTGCGCCTTCATCTCAACACTCTCCCACTTTGTAATTGAAGGTCAAGTACTCTAAATTTCTTAGAGTTGTTTGAACGTGCTTTCTCTCTCATGCCTCTGGCTCTTTGCCCACACTGTTGCCTCTCACTTTCTTTACCAGGCTTATACTCGTCCTGTCTGAATATGTCTCCAGAAAGCCTTCTCTGACCCAACAAGATGGGGTTACCATGCCTCCTATATGTTTCCTAATTCCACTTTTGACTTTTTTTTTTTTCTTGAAACAGGGTCTCTCTGTGTAGCCCAGGCCAGTCTTGAACTCCTGGGTTCCAGCGATCCTCCTGCCTTGGCCCCCGAAAGTGCTGGGATTACAGGTGTAAGCCACTGTGCCCAGCCTGTTTGCTTATTTTTAGTACCCTGCTTTTCTGTTTACTTGTCTATTTTCCCCCAAAACATGTCTGGGTGCAAGGAGTGTGTCTGTTTCATTAACTATTCTCAATGCTTAGGACATAGTTAGCCCTTAATAAATATTTACTGAATTGTTGTATGCAAGAATGAATGAATCAAAAGTCTCCTTATTCTCAGCCCAGATAAATTCTTCTTAGTCATGATAGATAATTCAGTAAAATTTTGTACCATAAACCAAAAGGCTTTGAAAAGTTTTATTAAGTAAATATCTTTGATTTCTGTCATTAAACGATCATCCTCAAAGCCTGGAAAACTATTTTTCACCTGATGTAACTCATAACTTATGAAGAAAAATAAATGTTATCCCTAAGTTTCAGTTTTACTTTTAAAAGGATAAAGAATTTTAGATTAATTTAATGTTTTTCTTAGACTCTCCCATAGAGAAGCTTTAGGAGCTTAGTGAGACATAGGTTTACCTTCTTTTTTTTTTTTTTGAGACGGAGTCTTGCTCTGTCGCCCAGACTGGAATGCAATGGTGGGATCTCGGCTCACTGCAACCTCAGCCTCCCGGGTTCAAGTGATTCTCCTGCTTCAGCCTCCTGCATAGCTGTGATTACAGGCGTGTACCACCACACCCGACTAATTTTTGTATTTTTAGTAGAGACACGGTTTCACCATGTTGGTCAGGCTGGTCTCAAACTCCTGACCTTGTGATCCAACCACCTCGGCCTCCCAAAGTGCTGGGATTACAGGCGTGAGCCACTGCACCTGGCCAGGCTTACCTTCTTAGAGGCATGGTATTGTGGCAACAATGGTGCATATATCCTGTGTCTCTTAGTGTAGAGTAGAAGAGATGGTCTACTACTTTTCCTTTTCCTCTCTTTTCAAAATCTTTGCTTTTTAAAACACACAGATTTTTTTTTGTAAAAACAAAATAAGACACAAAAATATTATAGTAGAAGATTTTTTTTTGTAGGATATAATTAATTTTGATATGCATGTTATCAAAGTGATGTCATCTTTGAGATAGGAAATCAAAGAGTCCCGAAGGATTCTGGATGAGAGTGGCTGAAGATAGGTAGCTAAATCATCATGATAAAAGCAAGAAATAGTGGCTCAAGCTCAAATTTTAAAATCTCTTAAGACTCTTACTTCAGTGCACATTTTATGGTTACTCTTCTAGATTGAGAAAGTCTGGGAAGAGGAAATCTGTTTTTGCAAGCACCTCATCGGTTCTGTTGCAGGTGGTCAGTGAACCATTTTGAGAAACATATAAGATTAGCTGGTAAAAATGCTTAGTTCAAAAATGTGAGTGTGTGTACATATGGTTGTTAGAAGACTAGCACCTTCAAATCCTCTTAAATTTGTTCCATAACATCAGAGAGTATATTAGAAGTTTGGAGGAAATTGGCATCAAATTTTTCACTACCCTCCATATGTATACTTCCTTGGGAGGCCTCCCAAAAGTCAAAGAGGGGCAAAATTCAGTTACTGATTTGTCATTAGTGGGAATTCCAAGCTTTGCCCCCTCCCTTGTTTTACTCCGCTCCACTCAGGCCAAGATTTGAGGGTCGGGTGCAGCGACTCATGCCTGTAATCTCAGCACTTTGGGAGGCTGAGGCAGGTGGATCGGCTTTGAGTCCAGGAGTTCGAGACTAGCCTGGGCAACATGGCAAAACCTCATCAATACAAAAATTATCTGGGCATGGCGGTACATGCTTGTAGTCCCAGCTACTTTGGAGGCTGAGGTAGAATTGTTTGAGCCTGGGATGTGGAGGTTGCAGGCAGCCAAGATCATACCATTGCACTCCAGCCTGGGGAACAGAGATCCTGTCTCACAAAAAAAAGATTTGATAGTTTTTGTTTTTTTACCATCACTGGGGCCAAATCAGTTTTTCTCTGTCTCTAATTCTTGCTCCCAATCCTTTTCTCCCTTCTCTTACTCTGACTAAAATTTACATGTTATTTTTTATTATAAAATAAAAACATTCTTTTTGTAACCCACATAAATACAAGTAGAAAATAATCACCTATAAACCAAATCCCTATCTTTTTTCTTTTGAGATGGAGTCTTGCTCTGTCACCCAGGCTGGAGTGCAGTGGCGCCATCTTGGCTCACTGCAACCTACACCTCCCAGGTTCAAGTGATTCTTTTGCCCCAGCCTCCTGAGTAGCTGGGACTACAGGCGTATGCCACCATGCCTGGCTAATTTTTTTTATTTTTTTAAAGAGAGATGGGGTTTCACTATGTTGACCAGGCTGGTCTCGAACTCCTGACCTCAGGTGATCTGCCCACCTCAGCCTCCCAAAGTGCTGGGATTACAGGTGTGAGCCACCATGCCTGGCCTAAATCCCTATCTTTCTAATAGAGTAAATAAAATTAAGTTTTATTAATTTATAAGGAAAATTAAATTTTATCCATCCCTTTCCTTATGTATATTATCTTGGTCTTCCATTCATAGAGCCACTGAGTTCTATAAAGATACGAAGATATTCTGGAAACATGTAGGGAAATGTAGAAAGACTTTTTTTAAAAGTGTTTATGTTTTTAAAGAAACAACAATATCTAATCTTTGAAATGTTTATGTTTCTACTTAATGATGATTTCCTAAAATTGAGATCAGCTTATAAGTATATAATTACTCAGCTGAAAATTGAAAACTTCATCTCGACTCACTGAACCATTGGAGTAAAAGGCTTTATTGTTTAAAAAAATGGAACTGCGTAGTTGT